AGACCAGTGGCTATTGCTGCTGGCAGGCAGGCATTTGGATCATTGAGGCACCGAGGCGGTGGCAATTGAGCGGAACGAGGCACTACTCGGCAGTCGATTAGCGACAGGCAACCAGTGCATTTGCATGCACAGTAGCACGTCGTCGCTGCTGCTGCTGCTGCTTCTGGTGTTCACAGTCACAGTCACTCTCACTCACTCACTCACTCAGGCAGTCTACTTTGGCCGAGCAAGCAGGGCTTCTCTATCTGCGATAGAATCAATTTGTAATTAACTTGTATTGTTTTTGCTGCTGTGATTAATTGCCCCTTCATCAGCATCTATATTATCAATATGAGCTGCTGCTGCTGCTGCTTTAGTTGCGGGGAGACATTAATTAATCGAGAGATGTACGCGCGTACATGCACACAGACACACAGACACATGATTAATATTCAGTGCCAAGGCTGCTGGCACGCCAGTTTGCACCGATTCTCATCGCAAAATTAGTCGATTCAGTCAAAAAGTGTTTCCAGGCTGGGCTAGGCTTTGCTTTGCTAGTCCATGCCAGGCTTGCCAGCACACTGCCTGCCTGCAAAAGCAGACAAGCAGACCTAACCAGACCAGACCAGAAGAGAACACAGACGAGCGACGAGACGGGCTATTTGCTGTCCAGTGATAAGATCACAGCCGTTTAAGTGTGGTGTCTCGCTGCGAATCATTCCGGGTTCTGTGTAATGGAACGCGTCGCTGGGCTGTCATAACTAGCGACCAGGAGCTGAAAATTGTGTACTCTCTCTCTCTCCTTTACTACAACTTTGGACGGAAAACTGGCAAAACGGCAAAAAGAAATCGTAAGCGATCTAATTAGCTAATATACAGGATTCTCACTCATATCCGCTTCCGCCTGAAGAAGACACTTTAATTTCTTTTGGCAGCTCATTTGCCGTCGACTGGTGGAATACCGAAAGAGAGTGAGAAAGAGAGGGAAAAAGAGAGAGACGCCGGTGAAAAATCCGAATGGCATGGTGCCGCAGATCATCACCAGCACTGCTGGCAGTGTATAATGGGGTTTGCCCTTTGGAGGAGCACCTTTGCCATGCATAAACTAAATAATTGTCAAGATTTATAAGCACATTGTGAAATTAGATGTTTTGCGATACCTAATTTAATTTGGCAAATAAAGTTGCATGTGATTCTCTGTAAAGGCAAAGAATGTCAGAAAAATGAAAGATGAACTTACCAATAAAGTACAGTGCTGTTTGCAGCCGCTGACAAACAAAAGGCGTAATTCAATTTGCCAAACATTCGTGCTCTTCCACACACTACTACTGTATCGATGATTCAATAGAGCCTAATGCGAAAGGATTGCCGCCGAGAGCGTTTGGGTAGAATAATTAAACAAGGAAAAGAATGTTGACTTGTCATGAATCACGCAAACACAATTTGCTTGATTACCTGCAAACGTGATTTACACAGCACATTATCTAAGACACATTCTGGCACTTACCAGCAGTTCCTGAATCCGGAGTATTTTTGTAAAAAAGATGACTTGTTAAAACGATTGTGGCGGCACCTATTGATCGATAGTGAAAGTTGTGATAAAAGGAAGCATTTTGGGAAAAAAACTTATTTACCAAATGCATGTGATTTGACGTCGGTTGTATTTCAAAAAACTGCAATCAAAGCTGTAACTTTTGTTGTTTAGAACCTTTTGTTGCCGAGCTACTCTTCGCAAATATTGCCTTGGCCAACTTTAGAAACGACCAACATTTTAAATAAACAAGGGCAAAATTTTTAGCTATACTGTTTCCATTGCCATATCAACGATTTATCTTTCTTGACTGTTACCATACTTACGATGGCAATGTGTTGCTTGTTGTCACCGTTAGCAAGTCTTCCGAGTTACATAAATGCACTTTTCATCAGAGTTGATTGCATCAAATGTCATCCAACAAAGAAAACAACTTTTCAACATGATTCAAAACAAAGAGACAAAGGCGATTTCATCAACTGAATTTCATAAGCTGTTTTCTAAAAACCAAGATTTTATAAGCTTTTTCGGGTTAATTTTGTGTGGTTATCTTTTCTGTTATTTCAACCTTTCCTTTTTGTGGGTATCCACGATCTCAATAGTTCTACTCCTACGTTTTTGGCTCAACGCTCAACGTCTTGAAAGTGATCAACTCAAAACAGACACATCTGATGCTCCTAACGAAGATGAAAAAGCGACTATAGAACACTTGATCAGACACTTACCCAGTTGGGTGCACTTTCCGGACACTCAGCGGGCGGAATGGCTTAACCAGTCACTCCTTCGACTGTGGCCATTTCTTCACAACTCCATTGAAAGGTGGATGAGGACAAAGTTGCAGCCGAATATTGACGAAGCATTGCCGTACTTGCTTAGCGGATTTCGCTTTACCTCTATTCACTTTGGCACTGTTTCTCCGCGAATCGGCAGTGTCAAGTGTTACAGCAGCAATACTTCAAAAGACGAAATTATTCTCGATGTTGAAGTGATGTAAGTACTTGAACATTTTCAACATTGATTTTCATAAATTTGAATATAAACAAAATTAGATACAGCGGAAATTGCAATATTGAACTTCGTCTAAAAGGATTGCCGGCTGGTTGTAAGAATGTAAAGCTTCGCGGTTTTCTACGAATTGAACTGAAATCACTTTCTGGCCAATGGCCGTATGCATCTTCGCTGTCAATGTACTTTTTGCAGAGTCCTCAAATTGATTTTAAACTGACTAAACTTGGAAAACTATTAGATATTTCTGGTTTAGAGTGAGTGTTTGTTTTACTTGTTTCTTTTTTTATGTTTGCATTTTAATTCTTAGTAACTATTTGAAAACTGCCATCAACAAGCAAATTGCTCGTCATTTAGTTTTGCCAAATAAGCACATTATTTCACTAATGCCTAATGTTGACACAAATGCACTTCGAATCAATAAGCCAATTGGGTTGATCAAAGTAGAAGTGATCGGAGCGAAAAATGTAAAGTCCGTGTTTTCGGATTTTTTCAGTAAGTTGATTTTAATTGTGATTTTAGTTTTCTTAAACATTTTACATTTCAGAACCAAAAGGCAAAGTTTACGTTCGAGTTGCCATTGGCAGTGAGGAGAAATGCACAAATGCAACTTCGAATATTTCTAGTCCAAAGTGGAGCTTTTCTCATCAATCTCCAGTTTTTGACTTGACCCAAACAATCGCATTTGAAGTGATGTACACTGAAGAAGTGCAAATTGGAACAGACAGTGAGGAATATCTGGGCCGAGCAGTGCTACCAGTTAGTATTGTCGCAAAAGAAGGTCAATTTGATGATGAACTCAACCTGATTGGAATGAACAAGGGCGCCATTCGGGTGAGAGCAACTTGGAGTCACCTACAGCACAAGCGACAGTTAGTGGATCAAATAAACAGCAAAATGACTTTGGTGCAAACACAAGAAAGCTCGCTTAGCATGACTAAAACACTAGTTGATAATAGTATAGTTGATGGGGAGTTGGAGCCTTCATACATGGCTTTCCACAGCTTCACCACTTCACAGAGTCCTTTTCTGTCATATGACCTCCACCTGAACTCTCCGTCCTCAGTGGCCTGTTTGCTGGTCCAACTAAATTCTGCTGAAAACTTGCCCATGTTTTCTTGCGAACCGAGTCCGCAGGTGATTCTTCATCTGGCTGGCACAACTCAAAAGAGCAGCATCGCCAGTCTCACTTGCAATCCTCTGTGGAACGAAAATTTTTACTTTTTGATTGACTCTTTTCAGCCGACGGACAACCTGATCATGGAAATCATCGATTGTGGCTGCGGCTACGAGCGGCAAATTGGAAAATGCACCTTAACATTACAGTCACTGCTCGATGAGCCCAACATGACAAAATCCGGCCAACTTGTAGTTGATTGTGAAGGCGATTCTGCGATTTCTCAGCACTTTAGCGTTAATTTGAGTATAACCCTTTATTTTCCGAGCTCGGCAGAGTAAACTTTTTGTAAAGTTAAGTTTGTACAAGTACCTTTTTAAATTATAATTTATTGTGAGATTAAATAATATTAACAAAAAATTAATTGAATTGATAAGCGCAAACTAAATATACAAAAAATATGCCGTAAAAAATAAAAAAATTCACAAAATTGAAATAATGTTGTCGATAGACTTTGAATGAGAACCAAAGTTATTGACTAAAATAAAAAAACTAAAATGAAAAAAATCAAGACAGTGTAAGAAAAGAAAAAAGTTGTGACGAAACATAAAAAACAAAAATTCGAATCTAGTTTTAGGACTTAGAATTCTAGTAAGGAAAAAATAAGTTACAATAAAAATGATGAAAATGTGTAAAAAAGATCCAAATAGAGAAGAAAAAAAGTAGTGAACAAAAGAGGTGAAATGAAACAAAAATCCCGTGAAAGAAGTATAAATACTAATAGTTTGAAATCTGATGTAGTGATTCTGAGGAATAGTGCTACTAAAAGCAAACTTCTTATATTGCACATTTGAAGAAAAACAAAGATTATATGATCATTCAGTGCTGAAAATAGTGAAAAATTGAGTTCAGATTGACTCAGGAGTTCGAGTGGCAAAGAGGCGTCGAGTTGTCTTCACGCAGAGAAAAAAAGTGTGGTTAAAAGTGGTTTAAAATAAATAAATAAAAGATTTGGTTGCAAACAAAAACAAACAACAAAACAGGTGCAACAACATTTGCAAAAACAACTATAGAGTGTCGGTAACAGAGCAACTAGTGCAGCTGGTTCAAGGATGGCAAACTTCACTTTGTGTGACATCCGCCAAATAATTGGGATGCTGCAGGCGACTGCCGGAAAGAATGGACATTCACATGTCCGAGTTCTTTTTCTTCAAGGCTTTGACCTGAAATGAAAACCGAGTAATGAGTAAGGGTAGTGAAATTTGCAGTTTAGGATCACTATTGTGTGACTTACCCATGGCTGAGAGTCGATCTCCTTGTTGATGGGCACGTGCTTCAGCTGACAGCGAATNTGGAAAGAATGGACATTCACATGTCTGAGTTCTTTTTCTTTAAGGCTTTGACCTGAAATGAGAACCGAGTAATGAGTAAAGGTAGTGAAATTTGCAGTTTAGGATCACTATTGTGTGACTTACCCATGGCTGAGAGTCGATCTCCTTGTTGATGGGCACGTGCTTCAGCTGACAGCGAATGCCTCGGTGGCAGCCGGAAGAGAGGCGCCAGTTGAAGCACTCTCCGTGCCGCTCCACCAGCTTCCGCGCCTGCTCCAGGGTGGGCAGCTGACCAGCCCGGGACTGTTCCATGCTGGGCGCAAAGCGCAGCTTCAGCGGCTCCACCAGGTCGGCGCACAGGTCCTGGCCGGTGTAGTTGTGAAGACAGGCGATGGCCTCCACCGGCGAGTAGGGATTGTCGTAGTGGACGAAGACGATGTTCGAGCCATTGGTGGCACGCCGCTCAAAGGTCTGAATGCCGGTGAAGTGGCCGAAGCGGCGGAAGCGACGCTTCAGGTAGGCCAGCGTCACGTCGGGTGAGATGTTGCACACCCACAGGCCCTTGTACGCCATGATGTTCGTTGGCTTGTGATCCATCCCTGAGCCCATCATTCCGTCACAGGAGGTGGAGGAGAGGCCGATCATGTCAGCGGTGGCCTGACCAATCTGACCATGTCCATTGTTGCCATTCAGACCGGAGCTGAGCATTGACAGGTTGGCTCGCATGGATGATTGCTGAGAAAAGTTCATTTGCTCGCCCATGTTCAGTGTTCCATTGCCGTACATGTTCTTGTTGGAGTTGCCGCTGATGGGCGATAGTGAGGCGTGAAATGCATTGTTCGCCTGGCCGCAGAAAGAATTTGTCTTTTGCTTGGCCAAAGTCTGACCAGTGGACTGGTCGTAAAAGCTGGTGACATTTTGAGCCGAAGGAAGATGATTGTTGCCATTGGCGCCGTTGGTGAACAGATTGAAGTAGCCTGCGTTGAGATTGTTTATGTTGAGATTGGAACAGCTCAGAGAGTTCGACTTGGGCGACTTGCAGTCTCCAATGGCACCGAGACAGCTCTCAGCATCGTCCACTAGTTTGTTTCCACTTGAGATCACATTAGAGGCGGCAATGTCGGCAAAGGTTCGGCTGTTGAGGAAGCCATTCGAGTAGGAAGATTGAGATTGATTTGTACTACAGTGCAACTCTGAGGAGTCGTTCGTTGACGGTGATCCAAAGAAAGCCTCATGTCGAAATGAGGCATAATCGCCGAACAGGTCAGCAGCTTGCCCACCAGATTTGTTTAGCTTGTCCAGCGGAAAGCCAAAGGAATCACTGGCATGAGTTGTTGTCTGCTGTTCACTGTAGTCAAACAGTGAGTTGTGGCGAGCGGTCGGAGCAAAGGGCGAATACTCCGAGTCCTCCATTGACAGTGGTTTGACAAAGATGTTTTCCGAAAGGGCGCCATCGGCTGACTGGCTAAACTGATGGTTATTATGAAGCTTTTCAAATCCACCAGAAAAGTGGTGACTATTCGCAGATGACTGGTGATGACTGGGACCATTACCATCAAAAAGCAGCTCGCTGCTGTCGGTGCTGTTGCCTGCTGAGAAGGCAAAGATGTTCTCCCCTGCGTACTTGTAGTCAGAGTGGTAGTGGTGGAAGTGGTGGTTCTTCTGGGAGCTCACTGAGGCAGAATGGCCGCCACCACTGTTCATGTCATGAGGACAGCCTGCATGCTCATAGGAGGCAGCCGAATCAAAGCCATTTAAGGTGCCATTCACTGCCTCTCGAGTGAGATCAATAGCGTCAAACTTGTCATCGCCGTTGCAAGTGAGCATCTCTGAACAGGAGTTCATCTGCTTGTCTGCCAGCAGATCACCGTATGAAAGCTTCCCTTCTTCAATGAACTTTGATGAGGAACTGTGGTGAAAGGCAAACAGCGGATTACCACCAAGAGAGGGCTCGAGGGCACCTGTCTCGAAGCAGTTCAGCGCATCAGGAGGAGTGGTGGAAATTGAAGAGGATAGGGAAGAGAAAGACGACGGTGAAGAAGAGGAATCGAGCAGAAGAGACGACGCCCCTGAGGAGGAGAGGGAGGCAGATGAGGAGGCGGTGGAAGCCATGTTCTGCTCTCCACCGACGCCTTCATCCTCGAGGTTGGCCTCATCAGGATCGAAGAGGCCGTCCTTGAGCACGGTGACCAGAAGGTTGCGATTGAAAGCCCCATTCAGGCAGTCTTCATCGAAGTAAGGCCTAGCTTTGCCGTAGCTGTCCTCCTTGCCGTACTGCTCACTATGATCTACTGATGAATGCGACTTCACCAGATCACTGATTGACTTTAGCTGGTCCAACTCGCGGTTGCTGAAGAAGTTCAGTCCGAAGAGCTCAGCACTCAGTCGCGCCTCTTCGCACTCCTGCTCGTGGAGGCTGCCTTTGCGGTAGTGGCCAGCAGCAGCAGCACAGTCAGTCATTTCAACAAAGGAGCCATTCTTGAAGTAGTTAGCTGTTCCCTCTGAACTCCGCTTATCAGCAGCAATCTCCAAATGATCATTTTCCTGTAAGTGTCTCATAATTGACAGCTGATTGACTCCATTTTTGTTTGCACTTCCACTCCTATCAGCGCCCATCAGATCAGCGTTGTTTGCAGTGCTGCGGCACTGAATGATGCCACAGTCATTCTCACTTTGCTGTTGATGCTGCGGCTGCACTCGACCGTTGTGGCTGAGAAGGCTGCACAACGCCTCTGCATCATAAATGGACTTTAAATTGGCGCTGTCTAACGCCGCCGTGGTCGTCGTCGTCGCCAAGTGGTGATGCTGGCCACCTGATAAGAGCGCCTCAAAGGCGGACGCCTTGCAGGCAGCAGCACTCGCATCACTGCCGTTGCTGTTGTTGTTGCCCTTCTCAATGGCCAACTGTTGAATCAGCGACTGTGACAAGATGTTATCGATGACTTCAGTGACTGAAGAGTACATGGCCGCGTACTTGCTGGCAGTCTCGTGCTCGAAGCCAGCGGCTCGCAGTGCATGGTACCGCTGCTCGTAAATTGATCCATCACTGGACGATGTATCGATGTCATCATCATCATCACCGGAGGTGGTCTTTGCAGCAGCAGAGTGAACGGAGGTGATCAGCTGATGCTGTTGTTGCTGTTGCTGTTGTTTGGATGACTGCTTCTGGGACCTATGCTGCTGAGCCAGGGAAGAAGGGTGCATCGACACATCGGACGGCATGGCGACCAGCCTGCCTGCTAGTGCTCACTCGGAGAATTCACACTGGTTCAGGTTGGCTGCTGTTGATCACCAAGGACAGGACAGGTTCATCAGTTGGCTGCAACTGTTTGGTTGGTCACCACCGCTGCCGCCGCCACCGCCACTGTCACTGCTCAGTTCAGTTGCCTGGTAGAACGAGAAGAAGAAGAGAAAAAGATAGATTGTTTTGTATTAGTTTACTATTCAGCTTAGGCCAACAATGCTAAATGCTAGTGGTCGTTTCAGCACGTTACTGTGAAAAAATGTTTTATTGTAGCTTTATAAAGTGGCTCTCCCTATCTTTCTTTCTCTTTGTCAGCAATGAAATTGTTGTGGGCGCGATACAGATACAAAATGCTGAAAAGAGAGGAGCAGAAGAGAAAGAAGTACCGGTGCGCACTGCTACCCAAAGTCAACTCTGTGAATACCTTATAATGACAAATGAGCAAAAGCGTTTGCTCCATTGAAGTGACACTGTGTGCAGCTAAAGTGAGCAAAGTCAAAATCGAAAGTATAAGAAGAAACGGTCGACTCTGCCGTACCATCAATTAGACGATTATACCTGAAGTAGGACGCACTGCAGCAGTGCAAAAGTGCAATCGATACGTGGAAGAAGTTGTAAAAGTGTCTAATTCCTCTGTACACCTTCTTCTTCATTGTGTTCACTGTGTGTTTGTAGGTTAATCAATTTCACTTTAAAATTGAACAACCAAAAAGAAAAATTGAATAGGACTAAGGCAGGCAGGCACTCACACCATCAGTCACTGTGTTTAGCGTGAGACGTTTAGTAGTTTCATTCAGTTGAAAGTCTGCCTGTCGAGCTCTGTAGCTCTTCGTGCAACCTTTTTGTCAAAAGGCGGTCATGAACGCGTGTACAAAAAAAATTGAGCTGTTGCGAACGAGCAAAGAGACGCTCTCGCAACAACCATTAGCAATCAATTCACATGTATCGATCCTCTAATCCGCGTGCGTTCAAATTATCATAAACCATTTCAAAATTGGAAAGAGACTCGGCTGTTGTGAAGAGTTATGTGCTGTTGTGCGCTCCTCACACCAGTCAAGTGTGCTCCTCCATCGACAAAATGTTCGACAATTGTGTGTGTTTGGTGAGAGAGAAAGTGTTTGTGTGTTTGTGTGCTGAAAACCACTGGCCACTGTCAGGGCCAGCGTAGCGAAAATGTACAGGTAGAAAAGTCTGAAAATGTCTGACACTTGATGATGGTGTGTGTGTATGTGTGTATGTTTAGTGGTTGAATGCATCGCTGGGCAGATATTAGCAAGCTAGTTAAGTGGTTATTAATGCGAAAAGACACATGCCATTTGTCAGTGAAGGAGTGAGAAACGGCAAGTGAGCCGGCTCGCGAGTACAGTTTCAGCCAGTCAGACATGCTAACATGTCAATTATTAGTAATTAGCGTCCTATTATCTGTATACATTTTTAATCAAAAATGTATTCACAACAAAAACACGCTAATGATCAGCGGTGATTTGAATAAACAGCTTTTGTTTTTGTACAAAGTATTGAATAAAACTTCCAAAACTTACCTAAAAGTTATCGAGAGTTACTTTAAACTTTCAGTTTTGATCAAAAATAGTTTCACAGAAAAAAGATTTTAAAAGCGATAAAACAGTCAATTTCATAAAAATGCTGCTGCGTCTCTGCAGAGGTATGCTGCTGTTGGTGAGCAAATGAGAAAGAAAACAGTAAAAACTGCAAACTGACTCCAGGAGAAAATACCTAGAGAAGGGAATCTCATTTGGCGTTTTTGTGTCGGCAAGTGTGCACTCTTCAGGAGGCAGTCCCAAACGGAACTGAAACAGCGGTACCGAAACGGCCGAAGTGCCGACACTGCAGGAACGCACGCACACGCCAACAGCAAAGTGAAGTGAAGGCCAACAGTGGTGAAGAAGGCAGTGAGCCAATGAAGAGACAATGAAGAAATTTAAAAACTGATCTAATCAATACCATCCCCATAGCAATTAGTAGAGAGAGAGCGCGCGCGTCAAAAAAGTCTACAAGGGTAGGAATGCTCTAATTAAGCAAGGCCGAAGAGTTGTTTGTTTAGTTGATTCAGGCTGAAGGCTAAAAGACAGGCTCGGAACATTTCTAGCTTTAGTTTGTTATTGCACCTGAGCATGTAGGGCACTTTAAACCCAAGATACATCTATTAGATGCGTTTGTCCAGACTAAATTCCCATAGTGTGTGACCATTGTTTTTTGGCTTAATTATTATTACCGTGACAATTGTTCGTGTCACTGCTTATAATGATATGCGCCGTTTTGAGGAACATTCTAGTCGGTGGGAAAATGGTCGTTTGTTTGAGCGTTGACAACGACCCAGTTTGCCGTGTGTTTACCGAAGTGTGCAGTTGTATAATGTAAATGCTTTCACTTTTGCTGCCACTGCAAACTGTTCATCGATTGACAACTCAATTAGTGACTAGACTAGTGATAGACAAACACTGGCGGCTGTCACAAGTGGCGAACTGCCATGGATCACATCGGCGCACACATTTCTACACGTACATTTACAGCCCGGTATAATCGATAGATTCCGGTAGAAACAATAGTTACATTTTTCTCCAGCAAAACTTGTGATGACACAGTCAAAAGCTTTGACTGGGAACAAGCTGATAAAGAAATGACTTTAAATATAAAAATAAACTGAAAGATGATGAAAGGGTTTTGTTGAGACAAGGGAATTTGAGTGGTAGAATTACCTGTAGCAGCGGTAACAGCCTATGCGGCGATAGAAATCAAGCATGAGAGAACTCAATCTATCAAAAGCCCTACCAAATGAAAGCGGCGTTCTGAGCTCTTCTCTTTGTGGCGGCGCAGTGTTTGTTGTTATCATTAGACAGAGAGAAATGCCATCACCGATCGTCATTATGGTCATATTGGCCTTATCTCGCATGTTGATGTATTATTATCCGAGTGTCGATTTCCTAGACACAGCCAGGAGTTGCCAGCAGTCTTTCTTTCTTCTTCTTTTCGAAGTGGCTTTGTGTTCACGCAGTGGTGATCTAAAAAAGCGATAGCTATTTGTCAGAGCAAACAGTGAGAGTCAGCCTGTGTGTGAACTACAGCAACAACCTCACAGAATGGAACAAGCAGCAGCAGCAGCAANCGTCATTATGGTCATATTGGCCTTATCTCGCATGTTGATGTATTATTATCCGAGTGTCGATTTCCTAGACACAGCCAGGAGTTGCCAGCAGTCTTTCTTTCTTCTTCTTTTCGAAGTGGCTTTGTGTTCACGCAGTGGTGATCTAAAAAAGCGATAGCTATTTGTCAGAGCAAACAGTGAGAGTCAGCCTGTGTGTGAACTACAGCAACAACCTCACAGAATGGAACAAGCAGCAGCAGCAGCAAGACCGGTGAATGATGTTCTCCGAGTAGTGCTTGCCATCTCTATTCAATTGCCATGCTCAAAGTAGATTTAGATACCTTGATTGCAATTGATCAACGCTGAAGGCACTTTATAAATAGAGTCACACACACCGACACAAACACACAGACAACTGACACAACTGAACGCCTTGCTTTGGGTGTCCATTGTCAGATTTTTATCAAGTGGCACGGACGCACTGCCAAGTGACGATCAGCAGTTGATGCAATAATTGGCATCAACTTGGCTTGGCTTGGCTTAGGTCAGCTCAGTGCGCCCCAGTCAGGCCACAGATCATCCTCGGTGAAGAGGTAAACCGGCTACAGGCTGCGAATGCGAATGCGAGCACAGCAAGTGAATCCGCTTCTTTCCTGACGTCCAGATAAAATCACTGGCTGAAGAAGCAAAGTGAAGCACCGGTGAAGTTAGTGTTGAGCTCTCTTCTCTTTTCTCACTCTGCTCTGATCTTTTCAGTGTTTCAGCGTGACAGCGTCCCACTGTGAGCACCACACTGTCGTGGCCAACACTGAGGGCAAACACATCGCTAATTACCGTTTAGTTTAGTTTCAGCCTTTTGTATCAGATCATCTACGTCTCAATGGACAATGGCACAGAAGACAGCTTGTGCCTCTCTGGCACCGTTCTTCTGGCGTCATGTGGTCAGGAGAAACAAACACTGCAATTATACATTGCCTCTCTGCACTACCAAATGTGGCATGTGCTCGATTTTCAGTTAATCTGCAAATTGGGTTTTAAATCAAAAGCGCTCGGTTAGCATAAAACCTGGGTGCTAGCGAGGTTGCACACAAACTAATGGCGCATAATTGTTGTGGCAGAGGTATCTCACTTTAGCTCCTCTAAAGGAGAAGTACAGTACCACCGTTCTTCAGTTTACTTTATACCTCGGAATGACCCAAAAGCCAAAGAGCAGTCCTTATCTTTACTACATCAGCCTCGTGTCTCATGTAATGGTGCAAATAATAACCGACAGATAAAATATTTTACCTCAGTACCTCTGTCTCCGACGGTGTGTGAAATTTTTTACCATGTCAAGTTAGGCAAGTAATCAACAGTTTTTTACACTTGAAGCAACCCAAAATTACCAAACTTTACTGATTTTTAATTAGCAAACCCATTTTGCTCAATTTTGCTCAATAAAGTCATTTTAAAAACTAATAAAAAATTTCGATTTTACAAACTCTAACGCTGTGACAATTTTGATGATTGATGACAGTGCAAACCTTGACAAAAACAAACACAATGTGTTTTTTAAAATGCGCATTTTAACCATAAGAATTTTAAGTATTTTTTGTCTTCTGAAAAACTCAACAATATTGATTACCATGTTATGAGAGTAAATTCTAGTGCAAAGTAGCAGAGTAGTTCAACGTAATCAATAAAAACTTCGTTAATTGTGTCATTTATTAATGGCCTTCTTTGCTAAAAATGTATAAGAAAGCTTTGACAAAAAAAACGGATGGAGCATAAACTGGAAAACGTAAAAATAGATACACAAATTCAAACAATTTGACTGGAATCGAAGTGTAGGGGGAAAAAGTCAGCGTAGAGGTGAGTGCAAAAAGTGCTCTGCAT